TCCAAGTGCGCCTTGCGCTTGAAAGTGACTCCGCAGTCATCGCACCGGTAGGGCTTATCCACACTATGTTGATCCACCATGTGTTCCTCAAACTGCAGAGATTTCTGCAGGTCCAAGCCACAGATCCAGCAAACAAAAGATGCTCCTGACTGGTCTACTCCTGGTCGGGGTATGAGGGAGCCAGGCGCGAGGGTGCTGGAGCTCGACTGGCCAGACTCCCGCCGTCGGTCCCCCTGCTTGCTGTAGCCCCCACTGCTGCTGGAGCCTTGCTTGACGACCACAGGCGAGGTAGCAGGCCCCCCCTGGGCTGGAGGGGTCTGGGCCGAGTTGGAGCCGCCTGAGCTGTAACCGTTGGAGGCCACCCGCACCCCCTCCTGAGGGTTGGGCACGTACAGGAAGTGGTTGCGCACCAGGTCGGGGTTGATATTGCGCACCAGGTCTGGGTTGGTGAGAAGATTGAAGGCATCAATGTGCTGTGGCACTGACCGCTGCGAAAAGTAATGCAACACCTCGTTGACACTGTTGAAGTGTAACTGGACAATGTTATTTTTGTCCTTCTCGCCGCCAATATTGAGCCCCGGAATCCCCCCTCTAATCTCAACCTTGATCAGTGGTTCAAAGTCATTGGTGTCGGTACCCTTCTCAACACGACTTTCGTGTGACGTGACGGAAGAGACCCGGGGTGGGGGGGTGAAGGCCCCCTGAGAGTCGTCCTTGGTCAACTCCTGGACCTTGCCCTCCCCCCCCAGTCCCGCCCCACCGTCACTCTCGTGCAGGCTGCCTCGCTGTGCCGGTGCTGGCGGGGGTGGCTGTTGCGGCTGTGGCTGTGGCTGCGTTTGCTGGCTGACCGTGGGGGTCACACTCACGGCGTGCGCCTGGTAAGCGACCTGACCACCCATGGCAGCCACGGCAGCGGCCTGAGACGTAGGGATGGCCCGACCATTATCCATCATGTTCATTGTGAAGTCCATTGCGCCTTTATGCCTACACACCTGCAAGAGAGGGAGGGTGTCAGGCCCACCCACACAACTCTACGGGACAACCATGAGCAGCACCACACACTCACCCCTGCACACAACACCAACACTTGCACCACTGATCCTAACAGGTCTCTAGGTTAGTGTAGCACCTCGCTTGCCCCTCTCTCCTCGTTTGATGCTCCCCTCACCCTTCCCTGGCCACGCCTCCCCTCCTGCCTGGCCACCCCACTTCATATCTACCGGCCCTCCCTCCCTCGCTCTGCTGCTGCTGCTGCTGCTGCTTCCCTCCCTCCATCCTTCATCCCTCACCCCTCCTTCCTTCCCTCATCCCTCCTTCCCTTCGTTAGCTTCAACAGCATCGACGTGTTATCACATTGCCTTTCCCAGCGGTCAGTGTCACAGCAAAATTGGAAGCCATGCCAGTAGCATAGCATTATAGTGCCTGATTATGAGGTTTTTTTTTCAGGCTAATCGTTTCTGGAATGAAAAATAAATAAAAAGTTTATGCAGATTGTGAATAATAAGCAAAAGCAGCTAGGCATGCCTGCATTTAAGGGTAATTATAACTCTAATGATAATAATAGAAATGATAACAATAATAATAATAATAATAAAACCAAATCATGCTATTAAATAAACTCTTTCTCATGCACAAACTAAACATACTGGGTTAGATGCAGTCAAACTAAATAATTACAAAAATAAAAAAAAGAGGGGAAAATAAAATAAAAGAAAAGAAATAGGTGGAAAAAAGAACAAAAAGAAATAAAATGAATCATATGTATGCTCAAGCACCTGGCCAATTGATCAACTGAATCATAATCAAATCTTAAATCAAAGGCATGTAGTATAAAAAAGGAAATAAAAATAAAAATAAAAAGGATACAAGAGGAGAAAGATAAAGAATAATGACGGGGTGAGAGGGAGCAGGAGTCAGTCATCTTCCATAGAGTTCTTGGTGTACATAAAAGTACAAATTAGTATACATATGTATGCATGTATATATATATACACACATACAAACACATATAAAGTATACATAATATCCATACACATACATATATTCATGAACAGTTGGCCTGTCAAGATCTTGTAAAGAAAAAGAAAAAAGAAAAGGGAAAAAAAAACAGACAGACTTTTCATCAATTCTTTTCCTTAACCACATGACTTCACTCTCCTCTACTTTCTTTTTCCACCTGGCTGGTGCTATGAGCAAGCATTACTGGAATAGGTAATCAATAGCAGCAACACCTCCACCCTCCTCAGCCTCCCCCCTCCCCCCTAGGACCCATTCACCTCTACAGTGAATGTTATATTATTAAGTGTTTAAAAATAAAGTTACTATTCATCATCATCATCATCAAAACTAACTGGTCTTAATTTACAACAACTTCCCCTTACAAGGCTTAAATTCAATACATAGAAAAAAAAAAAAAAAAAACACTTAAGTACTACTATAATAATGATGATAAAATGAAAAAAAAATAAATAAAAATAGAGAAGTACTGGAAAGAGTTTCT